GGTACAACAATTTGGCTTATTTGATCTGGGTGGGGTTTTTTCTGTCCATGTTTTAGAAGATAGATCTCATCAGGGTATAAAAAGATAATTTATGCAATGTCTAGATTTTAAATCCTGGAGAAAAGAAGTGGAAATGTTCTTCATTATTTACAAATTCAAGCACCCTCTGGAGACCTCCCTCTTTCTTTGATTTTTATTCAATTTTGCTTTTCAAAGAGGCTTCAGTCTAATATTCAAACAAAAAAAAACAAATCCTAAATCTATTCAATTGTCTTATAGTATCCCACAGATATTAACCACGCTTTGCTGATCACTGCGAGGTTTGCCAGTGATAGGTGATGAACTTTGTCTCTCTTGCCCTATATTGACTGTTGTTCCTTTGATTTTTCAATTCCCCCTCTGTCAGGACTAGGCTTCTCTGAAGATATGAGCAACAGACATCCTGTGAACTGGGAGGGAAAGCCAAAGCATAAGAAAGATGAGAGAGCACATCTGAAGTATCATATATCTGTTTTGGTTCACTTGGCATCCAGCCAGGGTCAACCCAAGTGCCCACCAAAGCCACTTTATCACTCCTCTCCTCAGATCAGGGGAGAGAAAACACAATGAAGTCTCATGGGTCAAGATAAGGACAGGGAAAAAAATCACTCACCTGTTACTGTCATGGAAAACCAGACTTGACTTGGGGAAATTAGTTCAATTTTTTTACCACTCCTTCTTTCTCAGGGGGAGGACTCCTCACACTCTTCCTCTGCTCCAGCATAGATCCCTTCCACAGGTGACAGTCCTCCATGAACTCCTCCAAGGCGAGTCCTTCTCATGGGCTGCAGTTCTTCATGATCACGCTCCAGTGTGGGTCCTTTCCATGGGTGCAGTCCTTCAGGAACAGGCTTCTCCAGCATGGAGACCCACAGGGTCACAAGTCCTGCCAGCAAACCTGCTCTTTCCCCATGGGTAGGATCCTGCCAGGATCCTACTCCAGCATGAGCTTCTCACAAGCCTTCAGCCTCCTTCAGGCATCCACCTGCTGTTACATGGGGTCGTCCACAGGCTGCGGATCTCTGCTCAACCATGGATCTCTGTGGGCCGCAGGGGAGTAGCCTGCATCACAAGCT